AGCAGGGGTCCCCCATCCCCTGCCACCACCTCCTCACTCACAAATGCTGACAATAAGAGTGCCCATCTCATAGGATTGTCCTGAGAATTAAAAGAACCAACACATGGTACATCACTGAGTTACTGACATGGGATGTTCTGATTTCTCAGTGCCATGAATTCTCCCTGTCTTCAAGATCCCTGGTGGCACAGTGGTAAAGAGCTTGGCTACTAACCAAGAGGTCAGCAGTTCAAATCCACTATCTGCTCCTTAGAAACCCTCTGGGGCAGTTCTGTTCTGTCCTACAGGGTCCCTATGAGTGGGAATTGATTTGACGACGGTAGGTTTGGTTTGGTTTTTTTTTCAAGGCCTATAGCGTGCCAACTTGTGCTCACACCCTCTTCCCTCCCAGGCGCCAAGCTGAAGGTCCAGGGCTTGATTTTTTTTTTTTTTTTTAAAGCTTCTGAGTCAGAATCTAGTCTACAACAATGGGTTTGATGTTTTGGTTAATGTGCAGCTAAGGCTGAGAATTGCATAGTTAGCACATTTATTCCCTCTCTCAGGCTCTAAATTCTCTTATGGAATAATTTAAATCCATTAATTTACACCTGAGTACAGATTTGTCTGCATCCTATAGGTTAGTACTGTTTCAAATTTAAATTTTATTAGGTTCTATACTTAGTTTTTGGTGTATTTAAATTTATTTTTGGCACAGCAGTTAGGAGTGAAAATTTTTGTTTAAAGTTACATTATCCATTTCTAGTTTTATTACTTTTATTATCAGCGACTATAAACTTTTATGGAGCCCTAGTGGCATAGTGGTTAACAGCTCGGCTGCTAACCAAAAGGTCAGCAGTTCAAATCCACCAGCCATTCCTTGGAAACCTTCTGGGGCAGTTCTACTCTGTCCTTTAGGGTCGCTATGAGTTGGAATCGACTCAATGGCACCTCACAACAACAACATAACTTTTATGATTTCTGTTTTTCAAATTTATTAGAATTTCCTTGTGAATTAATATATGATGAATTTCTATAAATATACCATTGTCATGTATAAAGGAGCCACCTGTATATTCAATACAAAATTTGTTATAGTTTATTTCCTTGATACTAAGACCCCATTAATCATGAGAGGAACCATTGATTTAATTACAGCCTTTCAGGAAGAATAAACAGCACTAGGTTAAATGTACACAGATTTTTATTGTCTATTAACTAACTTGTGTTGTTGTTGTTGTGTGCCGTTGAGTCAATAATAGCATGCATTTATCTTTACCATTATATATCTTCTTCTTTAATAGCGCATAATTTAAATCTGAACTCTTTTCACACAATAGAACCTAAACATTTTAAGTTAGGCTTGTGATGCTGACCTCTTTATAAAATGTTGAGCCTCATTGAAGATTATTGGTTTGGTTTCATCCTTCTTTCCTACTTGACTAAACTTAAAAAAAAATTAATGGGATTGTGTAGTTATGGGGGATAAACAACTTTTTTTGAAATTTAGCTGTAAAGTTTTTTTTTCCCTTTATTGAGGTGAAATTCACATAACATAAAATTAACCATTTTAAAATGAACAATTCAGTGGCATTTAGTACATTCACAATGTGCAGCCACCACCTCTATCTAATTTCAAAGCATTTCAACACAGCTGTAAGTTTTGACACTTAGATGTTTGGTTCCTGAGTAATAGTCTTTATGACTCATGCATTGGTCACACCAACCTCCCCATCTTTAAAAATTCTGTGCTTTATTCTGAGAGACTAGGCTTTTGCGTTTGCCTTGTTACAGTTGCTCTGCCTGGCCTGTGGCAGACAACCTACACACGATTTGTTTTTTTGTGTCAGTGCTGCATCAGACTAGAATCATTTTAAGTTAAAATTAGGGATCCAAATTAATGTTAAAATCCAGCCGTTTGGGGATATGCAATGCAAAGCAAATAACTCGATTGATGTGAAAATAGGATTCACTTCTTTCCCACAAAGATAAATGTGCACATACATTAAGTTCCAACTACTTGCCAGACTCACTCCTGACTGCTTTGAGTTTCTTTTGGCTTTAATTATAAGAAGATCCTGATTTCAGTAATATTATCATTTAAAAAATTCCTTTATAATGAGGAAATATGTATCTATTATTTAAGGCTAATTGATTTCAGATTTTGTATTCTCTCGTCTAGGATTAAAACTCCAAGTACTTGGGGATCAGGCAGGTAACCTCATATGGCGGAGGCCTATGGGGAACTGGCAAGTGCACATCTGCCTAATGACATTGACATTCACTCTTCAAGAAAATTACAACCAATTAGATCCTCTAGGACCTTCTTTATCTAGTGTCTATTTGATTTATCATAAATCATGATAAAACCTTCTGTCATAATTATGTTTCTATAAATTTTCATTTCTTACAGTTTTATTTTAGATTATTTTCTCTGGACTTTGTACATCAAATTCCATTGCAATTGTGTCTGTTATCTATGTGAGTTCACCTTTAATCTGTTTGGTGTCTCTCCCCTCACATTTTTTGCCATGTTTTACAATTTCCTCTCCATTTTCCATTTCTATCTTTCCATCTCTACCACTCTCTGACTTGCTCTATAGCTTTCATGCTAGAGTTGGGCAGCCCTGTATTCCCAGTGGACCAGAATATGAAATATCAGTCTGTCTCTCTTCTAGAAATATTGAAGCCCAGCCTAAAATAATATGTCTTTCCTTTTCTCTTTATTCCCATTTAGCGTCCTTTCTTCTCTCTTAATACATCGTTTGATTAATAAATATTTCTTGATTATATACAGGACGATGGTTGTCAACTGACCTATGGCAGTTTGGTCATTCACAAATTTGTATCAATAGTATTCAGTACTTAGAGGTGGGGGAGAGCTATGAATATTCTTTCCACACTTTCCTACCCAGTTACAAAGAAAAAAAAGTCTCAGATTTAATACTGCCTGTACTGAAAGATCAGTGAAGCCCTACCTAGCTCTCTGTCCCTTTAAGTGCTCCAAAGGCACTGCTCTTTCTTTCTTTTGCTCCTGCTTATTTTGTTTCATTATTGAGATATAATTCACATAAGATTCACCATTTTAAAGTGTACAATTCAATGGCCAACGTATCTTTTTTTATTGAGGTAGAATTCACATAACATAAAATTAACCATTAACCATTTTAAAGTGTACAATTTACTGGCATTTAGGACAGTCATAATGTTGTGTAACCATCACCACTATCTAGTTGCAAGACATTTTCATCACCCCAAAGAAAGCTCCATATTCACCTCACAGCATCTTACGTGAAATATTCACCCAATACAAATGTGACAACATTCTAGCAGTGGGGGTTGGTTAGCTAACCTTCTGACTATAATCAGGCCAAATGAATTCCCCAAGAAAGCTGCTGAATATGGGACCATTTTGGAATCAAGCCTAAGGTACCATTTTCAAGGGTATAGATCCCTGGGCTCACTAGATTCTTAAGGACATGTAAGGACAGTGTGGAGTCCCTGGGTGGTGCAAAGGGTTAATGCACTTGGCTGCTAACCGTAAGCTTGGAGGTTTGAGTCTGCCCACAGGTGCCTTGGAAGAAAGGCCTGGTGATCTACTTCTGAAAAAATCAGCCATTGAAAACCCTAGGAACACAGTTTGACTCTGACACACATGTGGTCACCATGAGTCAGAGTTGCTCAATAGCAACTGATTTTAAGGACAGTGCCTGGTCAATATTTGTAACTGACTCATACATTTTGAATATAGTCATTTCACTAACTAAAGCTCATTTCTAACATCCATTATGGTAATTAACAATGCTTCTTGTGTTGATCAGAGGTAAAGACTAGTGAGACATTTTGGTAGCCACTTCTGAAATGCGGGCTTCTGATAGAAATTTGCTAAACATTCCTGGAGTGTATATTCCTAATTAGGGTAACTGATCACCACTAGAGGGTAGATTACATCTAACAAACTCACTCATATATACCATGTTGTCCATGTTGAATAACATTGGAGTTACATCATATGCACAATTAACTTTTGCAACTTCAGCTATAAAAATTGATCAAAAGAGAGAGGCAAAGGGAATACTGGAGTGCTCAAGGAGCCTGTGTCCCTGGTCAAGCTTGAAATAGAAGCCCAAATCTACTGTTCCCTCAGTTGTCCTCAATTCCTGTGTCCTTACTTTGTGAGTAGGTCACCATGTTGAGAGTGACTCCAGTGGTTCACGATACTTACTGTTTATATAACATGGCACCTAAACATAAAGCACTTACTTCAACTGGTCTTCATCTGAAGAGGGAGTCATCCATTTTGACATGGAAGAAAAGAGGATTGTATTGTACTTACAGAGAGGACAGTTTTCCAAAGTGGTTAAGGAATTTTCAAGAGTATATTTACTATTATCTGATTTTACCCTCTTTAGTATCTACCTCACCTACTCCTCCCACCCATCCCCTGCCCCCAGTGTAAGGTGAGACTGGGTCTAGCATTGAGCTAGGCTCTTTGAAGTTCCTGAAGAAGTATAAGGCAGGAACTCCATTGCATTGGAAGAATTTCAGATCTGCCTCTTTGAATTGCCTCAAGGCAAACAATCAGCAGTACCAGGAGTCAGGCTAATTTTATCTTAGAACCAAGGTAGCTTTGTTTTTAATGGGAGAAAAAATGACAAGACTTTTATTCATCTTGTGAGAAAGAACATTTTGTCTCTATAATGCACACATATAGAATCCCACTGTGAAATTACGAAGACAAACTCTAGTTCAATTTATGGTGGAGGTGAATGATGGATTTATTGCTTGAATATCATTTCCTTATTCTAATCAGATGGTGATAACCATTTAAAATAATCTTTATATACTGTAACCTAGATCATATGTCGATTCTCATAGCTGATGTGTAGAAGATCTTCTTGCAAAAATCCCCTCAACTTTTTTCTTATATTAACAAAAAGTATACGTGCGGTGGGTAGCTTTATTGATTTTTAAGTTTGCTGAATTTTTTTTCATTTTTTAGTTTCTAATTGTGATTCCAACAGGTATTATCCTTTGATGCCTATATGGAAGATGAAGTGCCTGATAAAAGTCAAGAAGACTATAGAATAAGATACTATAAAATCTACTTCTACCCTGAAGATGACACAATTCAAGTCAATGAACCAGAGTTGAAAAATAGTGGACTGCCTCAAGGTATCTAAAGCAGAGTTATGATTCTTTCACTTCTAACTCCTGCCTTTATAGACTCTCTTTAGCTTTTTATAAGACCCCCCTAATACTGTTTAGGTGCCTAACTTGTTGGCAGTGATGAGTATAAACATGCTGTTAGGTTATAGTTAGAAGTCCTTAGGTGGCGCAAATGGTTAAGCACTGGGCTACTAACCAAAAGATTGGCGGTTCAAACCAACCCAGAGGCACCTAGGAAGACAGGTCTGATGATCTGCTTCCAAAAGTCACAGCCTTGAAAACCCTTTGGAACACTTCTGCTTTGCACACATGGTGTTGCCATGAGTCAGAACCGACTCGATGGCAACTAACAAAAACAAGACTATAGTTACTGATGGTGATTTATCAGCTTTTTGCCCCCTAAACCTCAACCCTGGCTATTTCTCTCACTCCTCTGTGGCAAACTTGTATGCTTTCAGGTGCTGCTTTACTGTGAGCAGACTTTCCTATGTCTTCAAACTCTTCGGTCTCTTTGCTGTGGCCACACCACTTCCTTCACAACACCCTCAGGGAAGAAGAGAAGGCTGTTCTCCACTGCCACTTTCAGATTGGTGTTCTGCTCTTCTTTCTTGTATCCACTGCCATCTGCTTAAACCACCCTCTCCTCATCTTCATTCCTGTTAACTACAGACCTTGATGGTACTTCAACAAAGGGTCATGGCTCCTTCATCCCATGAGTCAGTCATCTTCAGCCATACTTCACCTCAGCCACACATAAAAGTAAACTCTGATAATGACCACCAGAGAAGCTAATGTGGTGCTAGGCTGCATTATTAGAAATATGGCAGAGATCATGGGAGGTGACAGATTGATTCTGTTTGTGTTATGGGTCCTTCCCTTGCATGCGATGCTGAGTTCTGGATGCTCTCATGGGAGAGCAACCATGATGGGCAAAGGACTGAAATTTTGTCATGCATAAGACTGAATAGTGACAAGGGATATTTGTCTCTAAGGGGAAGACTCAGGTATGCCTGATAAATGTCTTCAAGAATCTAAGGGCTGTCAGGTAGAGGAGAGGTGACCTTATTTTCTGCAGTCTGAAGGATAGGACCTAGGGGTCAGAATTCAGGTCAGTAAGAGGAGAACTTTCTAGCAGAGAACTGCTACAAGTTGCAGTGGATGGCTCTGGGTGGGGGTGGGGAATGGGGATGGGGTATTAGAAGGGGAGTCATGTACAGTTATTTGTTTGGTCACTGGTGTAGATGCATGGCCCTGGGAGGGGGTCGGGTGGTGGTTGTGGGGTGAAGGGAAGATAAAGGGTTGTTTTTCACAGACAGCTTGGTAGAGTGTAGAAGCGAAGTCATGCATTTGTTCGGTGGTTGGTGTAGATGACCTTTCAGGACTCTGATCCTTGAGGAGCCATGATTCTTGGGTTTATTGTTATCTCTTCACCTTTTTTTTCCTACCAGTTCCTTTATTAATAAAGCAAAGTGTAAAAGAACCAGGTCCCCAAATTACCCATATGATTAAAAGTGCAAGTTTAATTCAACCTGAAATAGAAAATGAAGGGCAGGCTCAACTAATTGGGCCATGGAAATTTGATGTGATCAGAATGGTTTTTCTACAACTGTAGCAACTGAACCATATTTGGTTAACTCTTTGGCCTTCGTTATTGGAACAAAACTTATGCTACGACTGCAGCCAACAGATTGCATCATGATACACAGTTTGAGGTCACAGTACACGTTATAAAATTACAATAAAATAGGAATGTTTTAAGTCAAGTGACTACATCAAGGCTTTTTTTTAAAAAGCAAAACATGCTAAAAGTATTCTTGAATATCTGATACTTCAAAAACCAGATTAGATATAATTTAGCTGGACATTTTAGTCTATTCTCTCTGTATACATGATTCACCCCCTCCCAACTTGTACTTGCTTTATCTCCACCAAAATATGTGCTATGAATGTACAAAATACAAAATAAACAGTAGTGTCTCAGTAGCAGAGATGCAATTTTTAAAAATTAACACACACCACGATGATAACACTGAACTTGTTTCCCTCTAAAAGACACTGGAAACGTTGCGGTTAATTTTTCACACCACTGCCGAGGGAGACAGCCATCTTCACCCACAGGGTGGAGATGAGAAGTAAAAGTCTTCATCAGGGTTAAAGGCCATTTGACAGAAGTGACTTACTCCATGAGGTTAAAAGGCAAAGCTTTGGAAGGATGATGGGTAACTGCCTCAGAGTGCTAGGAGGTCCATTTTGGTAGGTGCCACCAAGTCAGATGGAAACATCCAGGTGAGAAGTCTGACCTTGGCAGTGGGAATGGTAACGAGCCTGAGAAGCTTGGGCCAAAGACCCAGCACTATTTTTCTGGTGTTCATGGCCACCAGCGATCATTGCTAAGGCACAGGCTAAGATCCCACACACAAAAAAATTAATTAATTCTAAAAATAAAAAACAAAAAGAAACAAGTTAATCTACAATCCTTCCTGATTACTCATCTGCAAAGTTCAACACAGCCAGGGAGGAGTTTGGTGTCTCTGTGTATAAGCCTTCCTCACTGATGGTATGGTTATGAGACCACAGTTGACGTTCAAGGAAGTAGGACCACAGACAGAAGGTGCCCTGCGCTAATGGCACACACTTGCTCCATAGGAGAGATGCAAGGACAAGTGTGCCTGGCCACAGCTGTAGCTTGTCATAAGTGTGCTAAACAGATATGAGTTTTGTTTGTGTTTCTTTCACAGAGGACATATGGGGCCAGACTGAGTGTCACCAGTGAATGAGTGGCCGAATTAAGACTCATGAATATTGAGTACTCATGAATATTTAGTGGCTCTTATATATTTAGTATGTCATGAATATTTAGAGCCCAGGTGCCTCATATATATTTAATATCTATTGAATATTAGGTATCTCTTGGTCCTCCATCCCTTTCTTTTTATGCTTCACTCTACTTAATACCTGTTGTTGTTGTTATTGTGTGCCATCGAGTTGATTCCAACCCATAGCAACCCTATAGGACAGGGTAGAACTGCCCCATAGGGTTTCCAAGGCTATAAATCTTTACAGAAACAGACTGCAATATCTTTCTCCCATGGAGCAGCTGGTAGGCTTGAACTACCAGCCTTTCAGTTAGCAGCTGCATGCTTAACCACTGAGCCACCAGAGCTCCTTTTACTTAACTACCTACTTTATTTAATACGCCTTATGATTTCTAAGGTGCCCTGGTGGCACAGTGGTTAAGCACTCGGCTACTAACTGAAAGGTCAGCAATTTGAACTTACCAGCTGCTCTGCAGGAGAAGGATGTGGCAGTCTACATCAGTAAAGATTTACAGCCTTGAAAACCTTTTGGGGCAGTTCTACTGTGTCCTATAGGGTCACTATGAGTCGGAATCGACTCTACGGCAATGAGTTTGTTTTTTTGGGGGGGTTATGATTTCTGCCTATGTTGAACAAACTTTTTGCTTACTAACTAGTTTTCTGGGCCTGAGCCAGATGCCTCCATGTTGATATGCCACAACGAGTTCTAGGGGGAAGAACAGAGGAATTTGGGACCATGGGCCTCTGAGAATAAGGTTATAATGAGTCAGTGTGCAAAGGACTTCCTTCAGTGTTCATGAGACTGATTTTTTTTCTTTTTTTTTATATTTTATTGTACTTCAGGTGAAGACTTACGGAACAAATAGTTTCTCATGAAACAGTAGTACATATGTTGTTTTATGACATTGGTTAACAACCCCACAACATATTAACCCTCTAACTTCTCAACCT